TTGCGGAAAAAATACACTGAAAGAAAAAACTTCGTAAATTAGTATTTAAAAAACGTAAAACGATGATTATCTCAAAACACCCCCCCTTCGATCTTTATAATTTTTTTTTTCAAAATAATTGATGGAATATTCTTAAATTTCGTGAAAAGTGTATGCTGGTAACTTTCTTAAAAAGAAAGCTATAATTTTTTTAATTTTTGTTGAATTTTACAAGTTGATGAAAATGCATATTTTTTTATAAAATAATAATTTATTTGGATTCTACGCATAATTTTCGATAACTTTGCATATAGAAACTTTTTTCCTAAGTCCAGCCGTTCTCAAATTAATGCGAATTAAAAAAATATAATTATAACAATTTTCAACATATTAGGCCATTTTCAAATGTTCGTCGAGTTGTCCAGCAACGAGATTTTATTTCATGATTGTATATTAAAAACCAAACAATTCATTCTCAGATATGGTAGCTGTCAGACTTACCCGTTTCTATCTAGAGACAGCGGAAGAGAAGCACGTTGATGTGGTCAAATGAAAGATTTGTTGAGATAAGAAACAGTATATATTTATTATTTTATTTTACAACTCATATTATTTGAATACATTGAATAATTTGGATGTATCGTTTGAATTAGAGAATATTTTTACTGCAATTTGGTTGTTTGAAACTGGAATATAGCAATGATATTTTCGAGTTCCAGGAATTGGTTTCACTTTCTTAAAAATTGGATCAAATTCCGTGTCAGCCTTTTTGTATTCTTCCGTAGAAACATAACAAAATGACATTTTTGTTTGAAAATCTTCTTTACGACTATTTGCCCAGTCGTACAGTTGTTTAGGGTTCGTTATAGGGTGCTCGTGTTGCTTAGCTAAACTTGCTCTGGTTGCCATTCTCTTAAGGGTACCGCCAATCGCATCACAAGGACCTTTGCCGTGTGAAGTTGCAAACAAATGCCATTCCATTTCTACATTTAGCTTATCTTTAAATCCACAAAGGCTAGCAAATTTTTTTATGTTTTAGTATTGTGATGCTGCTCTATCTAACATAAAAATACACTTTTGGACTGTTATTTGCGAAAAATTCTAATAATTTTGAGATAAACAACTGAACTGCTACTGTGTAATGCTTCTAAATTGATTTAGGTAGAGGTTTACAACACTTGAAATTGTTATCCATCATAAAAAACTACTTGCTTTTTAACTTGAAACGCTAAGAGAGATGAACTGAATGGAACAGGTGAAGAACTTGACTTAAATGATCTTTATTTCTTGTATTGTGTGGTTTACATGTATACCTTATCAAGTGACACAGATGCGTCTTTTCAGCTTTAGTTGCTTTTCAATTAAAATTATTATTAATTACAGTTCCTAGTCCTATCAGGCCTGTTTTAAGAATGACCACCTTGGTGGGATTGGTTTGTTTAAAATTTGAAAAAAGGAGACTACTTATAACTACTATTTACAACTACAACTAACCTACAACTACTATATACATGTTCTGATAAAATACATTTTTGTGCAAATTTAGTCTTAATTTCGTTAATTCGGGAATCTATTTTGGCAATGCCTGCTTCTTCATGTAAATTTGTTATTCTAGTGTCGAAAGGACGATCAAGAACCATCCTCAGCACTCTATTCTGAGTGATTTGGATTTTGTTCCTGTGAGTCTGTGCACATGATTCCCACAGGGGAGCTGCATAGAGGATCGCAGGTGCTATGATTTGTTTGTAGACAGCCAGTTTTTTCACCCTTGAGAGGCGGGATCTGCGGCAAATCAGCGGATACAGAACAGGTGAAGAACGTCCCAATATATATATATATATGTAGCAGAATAATTACAATGTTTACATTATACCTATCTTCATTAGGTACAATTGATTATAGCAAACTTTTTTAAGTGTGAGTGTAAGAAGCCTCCACGGGGTGCCTTTTTATGTAGTTGTGATATCGCGGGATGAGCTCTTAAGGCACAATATGGTATACGTCAGAGAAGTACCTAGAGAATTTATCTCAATTACAGGTTTAATAACATATTTGTTTACCTGTTTATGTTTTGAGCCTCTGTTATGACATACACAATTCTATCCAGGTATACAACTAATAGAGGACAGAAAAAGGCACATGAGTGGGTTTGTTGATTATTTGGGTATATTTGAGAGTATTTACTTATAAACTTGTTTCTTTTCTGCTGCGTCTAAATAGAAACGGGTAAGTCTGACAGCTACCATATTTGAGAATGAACTGTTTGTTTTTTAATATATATTCATGGAAAAACATCTCGTTGCTGGACATCACGACTAACATTTTAAAATGGGTCAAAATGTAGAAAATTATTATTAATTATTTTTTTAAATTGCATTAACTTGAGAACGGCTGGACTTAGGAAAAAAGTTTTTATATGCAAAGTTTTTGAAAATTATGCGTAGAATCCAAATAAATTACTATTTTACTAAAAAATATGCAATTTCACCAACTTGTAAAAACCAACAAAAATTTCAAAAATTATAGATTTTTTTTTAAGAAAGTTACCAGCATACACTCTTCACCAAATATTAGAGCATTTTTTCAGTTTTCTTGAAAAAAAAAATTATAAAGATCGAAGGGGGGGTGTTTTGAGATAATCATCGTTTTACGTTTTTTAAATACTAATTTACTAAGTTTTTCTTTCAGTGTTTTTTTTCCGCAAAGATAATTTAACTACCTAAAACTTTTTCTGATATGTCATTTTGATCAGATCAATAGTTTTCAAGTTATGATTTTTTGAAAAAAAAATAATTCATTTTTTTATACGCCCTTTTCAAAAGTTACTCTGGAGGAAAAAATCATATTTAAATGAAAAATGCAACCATTAGTAGCAGCGAACACGTGAGAAATGTTTCATTCAAATCGGAAACACTCATGACCAACCGGTTTGCGTTTTGGGCTGGAAATGCTCTATATCAAGTACTAAGTACTAATGTATACTGAGGAAATTCATCTAGAACACTTAGATGAGACCCAGCAAAATTCTGGCAAATGAGTCATGAAAAGCCTAAAATAAGAAGATGCAGAATATCGTATGTCCCTAAATGTGTCCCTTTTTCCTAAATAAATGATTTAGTTGCATAGAACTTTGAATAAGAATAATAGCCATTTAGAATCAACAAGTGCCGTGTGTAGTATCACCGAAACTATAATAAAGTTCTGAATATGTACATTGCTACTCACCAAGTAAACTGTATCCAGTCATGTTTTCTGAGTAGAAAAGAATTTGGTCTGTCCATGCACTTTCCTCCAACGCCGAATAAATCCATGGACCCAATTGCCAACGTCTCGTCGAACCAACTGTTCACTTTCACTGAAAGTTGCTACAAAGAGCTGAATGAGACGAGCTTTGCTACGATCTGAGTTTAAAAATATTTTCACAATATCACGATTCGTTAACATATATGAAACTAAGTTCAATTTAAAAAAAAAAACTTCAGTTCATATTGTCTTAAAATACTTTGTTTTGTTTTCTTTTATTGATGCTACCGGATGTCCTAGTTTCAGAATATAAAACCCGTGTAATATTAATGACGCTAATCTATAAAAACCACATGGTGTAAGAATTGGTTCAAGTTTGAGGGGAATATAGGGTGAAATTGGGTTTTGCATCATTCGATTTCTTGGATAATTCTACGATAATTTAGTGCATATAGGTTTATACATTATAGAACCAATTTAAATTTCCACTTGATTAAAATAGGTTTTTATTTTTTAATTTGACGGGAGATCGTGCAAAATAGACCATTTCCTGAAGTCTGACCAAGACGGGACCATCACCATTCGATTTTCCTGACATTTTTACATAAGTACAGTGCAAGTGCGTGTAATATTAATGACGCTAATCTATAAAACCACATGATATATGAGTTTGTTCAAGTTTGAGGGGAATATAGGGTGAAATGGGGTTTTAAAGTAGTCGCCACATGACGAACTTCGTAGCATTCAGCATTCGATTCCTTGGATAATTGTACAATAGTTAAGTGCATAAAGTTCAATATTTTTTCCGTCAAATTCTGCTTCCCTAGTGTTTAATCTTGTTTTTATAGGCCAAGGGGAAATCGGGAAAAATTGACCACTTATTGACGTCTGATCAAAGTAAAACTAGTTCCATTCAACTCCTTAGCTCTTTTTACAAGGATTAAGTTCACATTGACTCAATCTAAGTGCACCAAGTTCAGTTTCTGGAGAATAATTATATTTTTGTTTCCAAAATTAAAGGTAAATCGGGCAAAACGAACCACTTCCCGAAGTGAACCCTAAACAGGACCATCACCAATCAATTCTCCGATTTGTTTCACATAAGATAGGCTATTTTTCAGGACTCCTACCGTGCGCCGTCTAATTAAGTGGGATTTTAGGTCGATTTTTCCCCACTGTGCGCTTGCCCATGATGCTAGTCATGATTTCAAATAATATACAAGCAGTTTTGAGATAATGGTGAACATTTGTATAAACCAATTCATCAATGTTCCACATCATGGATCCCACTCACGAAAAATGTCCCAGAAAGTCGATTCTTGTCGAAAGAATTGTTTTCGAGGAAACGCCAAATTTCGAATTGAAACAATAGGAGATTTTTCAGTTTGTGCATTTCTCAAACGTCAGAGATGTCTATATGGTATTTTTATTCGAGCCAATAAACATTTTGTACATGGTCCGTTTGTAAAATAGTCCCTTTTTTCCTACACATTCATTGGCACCCTACCCAACACGCATTGGAAACCAAAATTAACTCAATGTCCGGGATCGTTGGCGGTTGAATTTTTCCGTGATAAGATTAGCAGGACCAGTGCAATCGGTTATCAGGTTTTAAAATGATTAGACAGTCAGTCGCAATAGCTTGAATTGAGTTGTAATCTATAATAAAAAACATTGAATATTAATCGGTATTTCAGTGGTACGGTTCAAATAGTCTAGAAGTGCACGCGCTTTATGCTTGATGTGTGTCAAGAAAATAGTGCAATTGCTGAAGAAAAATGCAGTGGAGGGTACCATTTTCCATATTAGTGCTGTTCGTTTTGGGAGAATGTCAATTTACGGCAGCCTTGATTTGTATAGAATGTACAGATTGTCCAGATGCCACTGACATCCGGGCAATAACATGCAGTACGGGCTGTTCAATTTGGAAAAGTATGGCTTTGTTAAAAAAAAATAGTGAAGGATGGTCTAAAGCGCACCCCTGGGGTAAAATGGCCCCACACTGTTTTTCATTGCTTTCCGATTATCAATTCGTGAACTTAACAATGAGCATCGCTACAACAGTACTTGAACTAGCATTCTGGCACATTAAATCCTACAATTAGTATTGGAAAAGCAACAAAAAACCGCCTGGGGCCATTTTATCCTAGGGATTGTTCTCCCCTACCTCTATGAGGCAATTAACATACAACGCAAACTATGATTTAGACGACAACGGTGTTGTTGAACGTGGCTGCAGAGACGGAGGATCAACAAACGTGATAGTGATAGCGAATTGCAACGCCTTCATGTGTAACAACCGACTTGTTCCCGTTTGTCAGCAGTGTTGCTCATTAGAAAGTTGTGAAGAAGTAGCATGTGACACGTTGGAAGCTGAGTGCTATGTTAACAAAGAAGGTATGTCGTATTGAAAAATATGTTATGCCATTCGCCAGACTATCCAAACATTAAATTTATATTAAAATATTGTACAGAGTTCTTCGGAATAACTGACATTTTTTAAACTGGCCATGACGATTGAACGCTTGTATGATTTTTTTATATCACTATATTCCAGATATACTACATTTATAACCTTCAACTAAGCATACTTTAATTCAAATCTTTCTCCCTTTACTTTTATTTACCAGCCACATTTGTCATGAAAATGAACCACAGCTGGCATGGTTCCTTATTACCTCTATAATGATGCGAAAAATAAATGTTTCTTTCCTTCGAAGAGGTTTCAGTTTCTGGAAGATAACACACGAATTTATACAGATTTATGGCATGCTCAATTTTTACGTCCATAGCTGTTTGAAATCGAAAACGAATGAAATTTCAAATCCTACTGTCAATACAAGCTGATATTTGAACACACCTTAAAACAAAAATACTTGAAAATATACCCATTTTACCCATTGAGAATTGCATATTTGGGAAATCGCTGACAGTTACTCTGAATAACCCTGTAAGGTGATGTTTATTTTCGAAAGGTTGAGCATTACAACACCAATTGCATAATTGTTCGCACCAAAACCATTGCATAATTGTTCGCTGTGTCAATCACTCATATTCGTGCCGGAATTTTGATTCCAAGTTTTGCACAGAAAACGGAATCCGATTTAGGTTAGCGACTGAAAGTCAATTTTTATGTGTTATATGCGACAGTTAGAAGATACTGATAGGTTAGCACATATCATCGGCAAGAGACGTGCGTGTGAGAAAATTTGCGAAAAAATCTAAGGGCACCGGTGGGATTCGAACCCACAATTCCCATTCAGTACACGGGTGCATTGCCAATTATACAACGGTGGACCTATGGTCTACGGATGTATTTGGCTAATGACATATGAGTTTCGATTCCGTTTCCCTCCCTTAGTCTTTTTGCGCAAGCGTTCTCAATACACAACAATCGTCTATTACCGACGATATGTGCTAGTACAAGCAATTGTACTAGCACATATCGTCGGTGTAATTTTTTGAACGCTATAAGCTTTGTCATTTATAGATGGAATCAAAATCCGAATACACCAATCGATAGGAAATCCTTTTCGTAAGCTGTTGCAATAAACTTTTTTTTTTCAATTTTTCATGAAAAAAAAACTGTTGTAAAAATGGACAAATAAAAAGTGATAAGTTTATCGCTGTTTTCATGAAGTAAACGTTCTCCCCAAACCCAGTCCTCATAATCAAGTACAATTTGGTTGCACATCGTGCTGCTTGAATCAGAAAAGTTATAAAAAAGCGCTGCTAATGTGCCTCAACTCATTTTCGCTTCGGACGGCGGGTAAGCAGGTAGCAGCAGCAGTAGGAGGGCGGTTCCTGTCAAGCACGCAGAGTTCGAGTTTTGCACCTCGAACTTTGCACGTCATTCCCGTCGAGATCATTGGCTGCTGGTAGCGGCGTCGCCTCGATGGCGCAAGCGCTCCTTGCCTGACTGATAATTACAAATCTCGATTACTTTTCGGAAGGACATCAAACTTTTGTAAACAACGGATTTTATCGTCGGTTTGGTATAACTAATAGCTCTCCCCACATACTAACACCGCTAACAGGTTGGGAAAATTTTCCCCTATCTGATGGTTGTACTAGCATGCGTGGGCGAGCTACCAGTTACGCCAAATCGACGATCAAATGCGTTGTTTACAAAAGTTGATACGTTCCTTCGAAAAAGTAATCGAGAAAAACTTCTTGGGCTGTGTACCAATAGCCGAGTTAAATTTAACTCGTGGTTAAACGTGACATTTTGTAAGTTATTTTCAATGTTCGAAAATGTCGGAAATTGATCAGTTTTCAAACAGAACTCAGCCACGGTTACCAAAATTTAACTTCTATAGCAGGGTTATTCGATAACTTATCTGTCACTTTTAACCACGAGTTAAATTCAACTCACCCATTGCGACACAGCCTTGGAAGTACAATTAGGGCCATCCATAAATTACGTATATTTTTGACCTTCCCCCTCGGAGCGTGTTTTGTAATACACCTAATACATGGTCCCAACTTCTGAAACCCCTCTCCTCCCTCAACTACTACGTTATTTATGAAAGTTCCCAAATCATTGGGCAACACTGAAAATCAGCAGCACACACCACACAAAATGGGTTAGACCTTTATGCGAAATTTCGGTATTGATCGTCAATATTTCGCGATCAGAACATTTTAGCTTGAAATCCCTCCATTTAATTCTCGGTACGTCTTTAATCTATTGATTGAATGAAAACAAATTCTTAATATGGTTTTTTAAGATTTCGTGCGTTTTGTGAACGCACATTCATTATTTTGCATAAAAAACGGGAACGGGGTGTTTCTGTGGTGATAAAAAGGATTTTCCTACACAGATCACAGTTTTCTGTACCAAGCACTGAAATTATCAGACGGTACCTCTATTTATGCTTTTAGATTAGCTATGAAAGTCCCTCCTTCTTGGAATATTATGCTATAGAACGGTTTATACAACCCCAGTTTTTTTTCATAATTCTTCAAGTAGGAGGGAGTTGCGTCGAGTTTACTTTCAGTGCTACGCTCTGAAATTCGACAGTGAGCGTTCAAAAGGACCTGCTTGTAATGTTCGACTCTCTTCATCGATTTTCTGTTTACAGCTAAGCGAAACAATTCAAGCTGAACATTGCATTAGGTCCTAAGTAACATTGACAAGATTCTCTTAGTCGACTTTCCCCTTGAATCCACTCGGCCCAGGTATTTTCAGCACACATATCGATAAAAGAAGTTTTTATCTAACATCTAATACGACAAACACAACAAGAAACGGTTATGTGCACAAGTTATTAAGGGTGTGTTCCATTTCGTGAATTTTTACTTAAATTTGACCGATGGAAAATGTTCAAATAAACCTGCTATTCAAGCAGACTTATTTCTGACAGACAAGGAATCAATTTGACAGACGCTTTCTTGAAAACCGGCCGATCTACAACAGGAGGGATTTTCGAACATACATATTTAAAAATTTTATTAGTGTCAAATCTAAGTGATAATTTTCCAAATGGAACACAGCCTTAGTATTTTTTTTTATTTGTTCAATCGGTAGATAAAAGATGTACCGAGAACTTATTGGAGGGATTCATGGCTAATTGATATCATCTCGATAAACTATGAAATGTTGTATAACATTGATGCAAAATTGTGCACTCCGGTTTTGTGTGTGCATTTATTTTTAGCGTTTTGAAGTTGAATCGCTGAGGATCAATCTCATTAACATAGAAACATTTCAAGAGTACAGATATCAGCTCTCACAAAACTTATAACAAAGAAACTGGAACTTCACGCTTGTTGCAGTCCAGTACACAAGGAGTTTCAATTTCATGAGTGATGTCACAACCGTCCAAGATTTGTGTCCTAGAAATCTTGAAGTGATAGGGAATATCAGCCATCATGACGGTCATTTTTGGACGCTTCAATGAATCACCTGACGAAAGCCTTACTCATAGCTGATTGTAATGTAGGAACCAAATTGTAATAGAATATGTATTCGCATTTTTATGAGGTCCTGAATTTAACCAAGTTTTACTTAGTAGGAAATCCAAAATATGAACATAGGACCGACATCATAGGTTACTTCTACTGTATTTTAAATCAATGACTAGAAAAAATGCACGAGAATTTCACTACATAGCTTAACGTAGTCTACGTCAACCCTGCGGTCGTGTCTTGTACACAACCCTACAAATTATTTTATTTAGCTAAACTACGGTTAAATAAAAACTCGCCAAGATGCTTGTGTTTGAGTACATTTTTTCGGTGACCAATAATATGACATTGAAACATACTTTTATTTGAATGGTGAAACAATAAATTTGATTATATTTATTTCATAGCAATGATTCGGACCTCGATTGGGGGAGCCTTAAAAACTAACTGAATTTGAACAAGCAATGATCCTTTGCTCATGCTTTGTGTAATGAAATCACATGGCGACCGGATGTCAAAAATTTAAGCATCTCAAACTTAAGAAAATGCGCAGAGTTAGAACATTCCATGAATTTTGTAACAAGCTTTTTTTCTGAATATTTCATCATCAGTTAAATCTCAGACAGGAACCAAAACTAAATTCTAGGAGTTTGAAGTTGAAACATGATAAAGTGAAAACAGAATAAATTTCACACATTTAGGATTTAAATATGTTCAAGGTTAAGATTTAAAAATTTCGAAAAATACTGAAGAGCCTGGCTATAATTTGTCATGATTCTGATTTTTGAAGAGAAAAGAAAATAATAAAGCACTTATGCAGAACATTTTTTTTATTTGATGCATCGGACTAACTGACATTCGGAATCAATCGAGATTTAACTTTAATTCTAATCGAAAGGAATGAACTCGTAACTTGAGTGATTGTGTCTCTGTTTGTGAATAGATAAAAATTGAATTTATTTTTACAAAAGCATTTGGATTTTTTTAAATTGAGAATGTAGTTAGTTTTGGTTATACCCATTTGGAACCAATTAATTATTTACACGAGCTTTTTTAATCATAAAATACACACAAAAAGCATGGCTTTTTGTATGTGCTAAGGCATTCAAACTATCCTGCAGCTGAATTCCGGGAATATATTTCATCGAAAAGAAAGAAATTTGTACACATTAGATATGTGTAGAAATTTCCACTTTTCGTTAAATGTATGCCCGGAATTCAGCTGCTGGAGTGCTAATTCTTACCAAATTAGCTAAATCACCAAGGCACGGGTCTTCCCTAAAGAGAATGAACAAACATGTCCATAAAATCTAGATTCATATTTCAAAATTCCATCAGATTCAATTAGCTGAACAACTTTTGAATACCGTAATCCGGGGAGAAATTGATCACTTTTTAACGTAAATAAATAAATTCCTACAATAAACTAAATTGAAAAACTAATGGCATTTAAATTAGTAGCTATGCGGGCTCCATTTTCCTGCCTG